TCCCCAGCCCCCTGCCCGCCTGCCCTGATCTCCACAGGAGAGCCCCGCTGCCCCCAGCCCTGCTTCCCTGTGGCCAGTTCCCTCCCCCCCCGCCATCTCCTCCCTGCCTGCACCGCTCTGCCCCAGTCTGCTCCCCTCCTGGCAGCCACTAGGCACACTGAGGCCCAGTATTTTTTTTCCCACGGCTCGGTACTGGGCCACGGCCCATAGCTTGGGAAATGCTGGTCTAGACATATACTTTTGTTCAAATGCATTCTTAGCAAGTGTAAAGGGGGAATTCTATTTCTAACCCCAACCTCCTGTGCACACTACACAGGCCTGACCCTACTGAGTATGGAAAGAAAGTGGAACATCTGCAGCAGAGAAAGACAAAGAACAACCCTCAGCCACCTCAGAAACAGCTGCTCAAGTCCCTTCTCAGCAAACTGAGGAAGGAGTAGAACCTCCCCTCTCCCACCCTCCTTTTCCCTGTCTCCCCGAGTTTTGTTCAATAAAGAGAGTTTCTATTTTTGACCACATGTGTCCTTTATTTTGTACATCAGGAAGGGGGGCTAGGGACGGGTAAGTGGAAGGATGTGAGGGAGGAATTGGGTATGAGCCCCCGATGGGGAGGACTGGGGTGGCTCTGCAGGCTCCTCGGGGGGGAAACTCTTCTGCAGCCCCTCCAATAGACCCTCGCCGGATGGCAGCCTGCGGCAAGCGCAGCTGGGCTGATGGCCGAGTGCTGTGATGTGCCCAGTGTGGATAGTCTGGGCATTCCAAGCCAGGACTGCTTTGCAAGCGGGGAACCCCTGAGAACTGTCTGTCCGGGGTGGGGGTGGGTCCCTTTAATCACAGCCCTCGGCTAGCCTGAGACAGCAGCTCCACGCTCTAAGTCCTCCTCTAATGCCCTGCCGGCACTGCTTCCGGCCATCCTTAACCTCGGTTCAGGGTCCACTCAATGTGGACATGCTAGTTCGAATTAGCAAAATGCTAATTTGAACTAGTTTTTAGGTCTAGATGCACTAGTTCAAATTAGCTTAGTTCGAATTAACTAATTCGAATTAAGTTAGTTCGCATTGGTGCTGTAGTGTAGACATACCCGTACACGGGAAAAAATTCAGTCCTTTTTTCAGCTCTATTGGGTATAAGAGAATCTGCAGTGATGGGAGGGGGAACAAAGTTCTTACATCTTGGTTCTGTCCAAATGGCATAATAGGATATTATGGGCACTTTCCTCTCATGATAAATACTTCATTATAAAGTTTCAATCTTATTTAAAATGGCAAATAAAAACTCATCTTAAGAGCTTTAAACAAGGGACAACCCTCTGGAAAAGAAGCAGAAGCCACATCCTCACTTTTCATCCAACCCATGCTCTGGGAGAAGGACAGGGTCCAAGCTCTGGTTGGTTTTTCGTAAACAAAATCCACAGTCAAGTTCGACATCGATATTTCTAAAGTTTGCCTGGCATGCCTTTCTGTACCTGCATTAAAAAAGAAAAAGATGTCTGAGCGCACTGGTCTGATGACAGAACACTAACCCCTAGCTCAGTAACTGATTAGGGAAACAATACTTTCACCAATTTAAATGGTCTGGGAACCCAACTACCTTTGTTATTCAAAAGCTATTCAACTCTATGAAGCACTGGATCCTTCACCATCATTTCACCCATTAGAATGTTTAATTTAGGCATATGCTTCTAGTCTGGTTATGTTAACCTGGTATATTCAACTAGTCAGGCTGTTCCCTAAAAGCCCACTACTGCCTGTGTCAACAATTTTCAAGCAAAGCCATAATTAAGTTATTATGGAAACACCCACTATAAAAATGATTGTTATCCATAGTACAGTAGCAGATATAGGTGCTTATTTATTTTGATTCTCTCCTACATTTGATACATGCATCTAACTTCCATTGATGCCAATGTGAATTCTGTGCACACAGCAAAACATGAACAGGTTGCTCAGCATAGCACTGCAGTGCTATTTAAATAGCTCTAATTATTGCACAAACTATCTGACACTGACTAACAATGAATGGTTATTGCAAAATAGACACAAACTGTTCTTCAGTCCTGACCTGCCACTGCCCCGCCCCACCACGTACCAGTGAGAGAAAACAGAGTTGGCTGCTGTGACCAGGAGAGCAGCTGCATAGTGCCAGAAGAAGCACATGGTGAGGAACATGAAGTTTCCACGGTCACTCTGGTCCCAGCCTGGCCCTCCCCATGGTGGGGACAGCACAAATCCAATCTGGTTAAAATACAAAAAGATGCACCATTTTACAGAGTAAGAAAGGTGTCGGGACATCTAGCACACCTCTGCACTTCTCCACTATGAAGATGAAGGCCTTAGCATCTGAGAAATGGTCATATCTACCCACTGATTGGCAATAAGCGGCCTGCAGGCTGGACATGGTTCACCTGGGTTAGCCCCTGGCAAGCCACCAGACGTTTCATTTACTTGCACATCTGCAGGCACGTCTGCTTGCAGTTCCTGTTGGCTGTGATTTGCCATTCTTCAGCCAATGGGAGCTGCAGGAAGCAGTGCAGGCTGGGCCACCACTTCTCACAGCTCCCTTTTTCCAGGAACAGTGACCTGCAGACAACAGGAGCTGCAAGTGCCCACGCAGATAAATAAAGTGTCTGGCAGCCTGCCAAGGGCTAACCCTGGTGAACCATGTCTGGCCCACAGGCTGCTTATTCCCCCACCCCCACCCCCCGCACTAGAGGCATCATGCTCTTGGCTCAGGGCATGTCTATGCTACCTGCTACAAAATAAAGAAAAATACCCTGAACACGACTGGATTCACTTTTCCCTTTTACTTCTTACTCTGTTCAGTCCACTCCCATGCCCTGAATTCTGTGGAAGCGTGGCCATCCTGTCTGGGTTTAAATCATTCTGTGTCTCCAGCAGGGGTTGATCATGCTGAGTATAGTCATGATAAATGTACTGCTGAATGCTCTCCTGTCGACTCTGGTACCCCACCAGAACGAGAAGAGTAGATGAATTCGATGGGAGACCATCTACCATTGAATTATTAACCCAGCTGAAGTTGCATAACGTGGATCAGTGGCCCACAGTAGTGTAGACCAAGCCTCACGATAATCACTGCCCTCACCAATTCCCTCTGTATGCTTGACAAACTTTTTAAACAGGGGATTTGTTAGTGCTACATTGGGCTCTATTAACTCTTTGGATGGCTGGAATGAATACGCTCAGTCTGAACAGGACTGACTTTGGGCAAACCTCAATCTAGCCTGTTGCTTCTGCTCTCACCTCCCTAGACTCCCCCATACTCCTCTCTTGAGCACTAGAATTTGGCTAGTCCAAGGTGCTGGACAAAAGGAGATGAGAGAGATTTTGTAGACAGGAAATATTATATAGAGTGGTTAAAACAAAGTGTTTGGAATCAGGCAACATGATTCGGTGTCTAATTCATAAACAAACAACTAAGCCTCACAACACTGTTTTAAAAGGCAGGTGAATGCTATGCTCATTTGTCAGAGAAACTGAGGCAATGAGCGAACAAACTGTACCTCGTGTCTGGTAAGCAACCCAGACTCCTGATTCTCAGTCTGGTGGCTTGTCCACTGGAAGAATTAATTTCCAGTAATGCCAGTCTTACAGCTCTTGGGATTTCAACATGGCTGAGGCACACTGTTGCCAACTTTCACAATTATAATGCACATCTCACAATATTTGGTCAGTTTTTTACTCCTGATTTTTAGGAGGCCCAATTCAAGATTTCGTTATGTTTGGCATAGTCAATATTGCATCTATACTCAAGTCTCATATAGTAGCTGTGGTGCAAGATAAGAGCATGAGTGGTCTGTGACCCCTATCACACCCGAGTCTTTAGCTGCTGGCAGCCAGGGAGGCTGACAGGTGCCCCAAGGTGGTGCAGAGAGAGCTCGTTACACCCGAGACTTCGACTGCTAGGACAAAAGTCCCTTCGCAGTGGGCAGCCAGGGAGGCTGACGGGTGCCCCAAAGAGTCTTCCCCGTGGAGGTGGCACATCTCAATGCTCAGCTCTTACTGCGTGTCCCCTTGTTGCTGTAACAGAACCAAACACAATAAAAAAGAACCAAAGCCGGTCAGGGGTAGTCAGGTTAAAAGCTTAAACAGTTACTATTGTTATTGTTACAAGGCAAGCTTAGCAGTTAAATGTTACTGCTGTGTTACAGATAACACAGCCACTAGAAAAAGACAAGACACAAATTACAATAAAAAGTCCCTTAAAGGTACCATGAAACCTTTTTGGTTCTCTGAGCTCTTATTGAATGCACGCAAAAATAGACACCTAGCAGGTATATTCTCACCCCTGCGATCCTTACTCCAGCGAAGCCAGCGTTTCTCTCAATCCCAATGGGAAGCAGCTGATACGAGACGAAGGTGTCCCTAAAGTGTCGGGGATCCAAGACCGCCTGACCAGCAGGTATATGGGTGGATCTCCAATTAGAGTGGGGCACAAGGCTCCACTTTATACCCCTGTGGTCACGTAGATGCTTCTCTTGTCATTAAAATGCCAATTAAGTTGGAATGTCTTTGTGACGCCCGTTCCCACAGGGGGTCCAAAGCTTAATTTGCACCTGTGAGGTGGAGGTAACTAAATCACTAGGGCCAGACATCCTTTTTCTGATGGGGCTGCAGATTCCTCTTCTGGGACGGTGTGTGTAGGCGTATCAATACTGGTACCAGCCAAGGGCAGCCCAAGGCCCCGATCACCTGCTGGCCCAATTGCCGCTGTTATCTGGTTCCTGTCTAGCAACCAGGGCCATTGTTATTCCAGCACCTCTGGAGGCCCTGGAGCCTTTGAAGACAGAGTTTCGCTCTCAAGGATTCTCTCTCCCAAGGATGTCGGGGGAGAGGGGAGGAGGAGGGGGGGAGGGTTTCCGTTTGGCTACATAAAGTGAAAATGGGGGATCAACATACCATTATGCTATAACAGCTGCTGAACAGCACAAACATAGATGAACTTTCCTTCCCACCAAAGTAGGAGCTAAATGATTTAAAGACCCAATGGGAAAAAGTCATCCATGGCATAAATCCACTGAAGATAATCAAGGATTTGGCCTAGTGTGTCATTACCAAACTACCTGGAAGAATAAACAGCTGTATAATTATATGGTGTTTACTAAGAAATACCCAACAAGATCACCAATATGTAAAGCAAAGGTGGGAAATAACTTCTGATGGGGGACCACTCCAAAATTTTGGTAAGTGGTCAGGGGCTGTACTTTTCCATAAAGTCTGGGGGTCTGGGATGGAGGCTGAGTGCAGAAGAGAGCTCAGGTTAGGAGGTGCAAGAAAGGATGTGAGGTCTCAGAGGGAGTTTGGGTGAAGGAGGGGGTTCACAGAGTGCAAAGTTTCCCCTCACCCCAACTTTGCGCAGAGGGGCAGATGGAGCTGCCAGTCGCTCTGAGCCTTGGGGCTGCTCCCTCCCTGTAGGTCCAGTGGAGTAGGCCACGGGATGGACTGAAAGGCTTGGCGGGCCGGATCTGGCCCTCTGGCCACATCATGCCCACCCCTGAAGTAAAGAGCACTAAACATTGGTCTATAATGGGTAATGTTGACTCTCTGGAGCATGCTGTCTTTTTGTGGTGCATTTGTACAGCACTTAGCATAATGGATTGTGCTCTATGAGTGGGGCTCCTACATGCCGTCACAATAAACAAACTACAGCAGTACTGTCTTCTCTCCTGTCCCTGTCCCCACCAAACCTATCAAGCTCAACTAAAGGTAATGGATAAGAACAGCTGACCTGCCAGAGCCAGGATCCTTGGAGAATGAAGAAACTGGTCCTGAAGAATTCCAGGATGGTGTTATCTCGCAGGAACGCTTCCATCAGGGCGCAAAGGGCTCCACCAAATATAGCGATGAGCAGCAAGGTATGGAGGTGCTGACCCAGAGCGTTGTTGTTGTAGTCATGGAAACAGAACAGGAAACCTGACACATAATAATTCAGTTGTATCAGGCCAGTGAGAGAAAGGGATTCACAGGCAGTGGCCACAGGAAGCAAGGGTTGCAGTTAATATCCTAGGGTATGTCTACACTACAGAGTTAGTTCGAACTAACTTAGTTCGAATTAGTTAATTCGAACTAAGCTAATTCGAACTAACGCGTCTAGAACTAAAAACTAGTTCGAATTAGCGTTTTGCTAATTCGAACTAGCAAGTCCACATTGAGTGGACCCTGAACAGGGCTTAAGGATGGCCGGAAGCAGTGCCGGCAGGGCATAAAAAGAGGACTTAGAGCATGGAGATGCTGTCTCAGGCTAGCCGAGGGCTGCGCTTAAAGGGTCCCGACCCCCACCCCGGACACACAGTTCTAAGGGGTGCCCCGCTTGCAAAGAAGTTCTGGCTTGGAGTGCCCTGAGTGCCCACACTGGGCACATCACACCACTCGGCCATCAGCCCGGCTGCACTTGCCGCAGGCTGCCATCTGGGGAGAGGGAGTAATTGGGGGGCTGCAGGAGAGCTTCCACCCCCAGAAGCCCGCAGAGCCAGCCCAGTCCTCCCCATCGGGGGCTCGTACCCCATTCCTCCCTCACCTCCTTCCACTTACCCTTCCCTAGCCCCCCTTCTTATTGATGTACAAAATAAAGATAACGTTTCTTCCAACATTGACTCTGTCTTTATTGAAAAAAACTGGGGGAGACTGGGAAAAGGAGGTGGGAGAGGGGAAGAGAAAGGCTGGGAGAGGGGAGGGCAACTAACATGATCAGGGGTTGGGAACAGGTCCCAGATGAAGAGAGGCTACAGAGACTGGGACTGTTCAGCTTAGAAAAGAGGAGACGGAGGGGGGACAGGATAGAGGTCTCTAAAAGCAGGGGTTGGGTGGAGAGGGTGCATTCAGAAAAGTTCTTCATGAGTTCCCATAAAGAAGGACTAGAGGACACCAAAGGAAAGGAATGGGTAGCAGGCTTGAAACTAGTAAGAGAAAGTTGTTCTTCTTCCCAAAGCAAATAGTTAACCTGTGGAACTCCTTGCTGCAGGAGGCTGTGAAGGCTACAACTAGAACAGAGTTTAAAGGGAAGTGAGATCAAGTCATGGAGGTTGGGTCCATGGAGTCCTATTAGCCAGAGGGTAGGAGTGGTGTCCCTGCCCAAAGTTTGTGGAAGGCTGGAGAGGGATGGCACGAGACAAATGGCTTGATCACTGTCTTCGGTCCATCCCCTCCAGGGTCCCTAGGGTTGGCCGCTGTTGGCAGACAGGCTACTGGGCTAGATGGACCTTTGGTCTGACCCAGTACGGCCATTGTAAGCTCAGGGCTCAGGGTCGGGGGTCTCAGTGGACCCCCTTGATTTTCATGCACACCTGCTCCTGGGTGGCCAGGCTGGCAGCTATCCTGCCCTAGACGGCCACTTTCCTGTGCCTAGTGCAGAGATCGTGGACGGAGTGGCCACCAGGGAAACCTGGGGAGGGCTAGCCTCCCACTAGTTCGAATTAAGGGGCTACACACCCCTTAATTCGAACTAGTAAGTTCGAACTAGGCTTAATCCTCGTAAAATGAGGTTTTCCTAGTTCGAACTAAGCGCTCCGTTAGTTCGAACTAACATTGTAGTGTAGACATACCCCTAGATCAGTGGTCTCCAAGTACAACGTAAGATCTACCTCAAACCCAAATACCCTGGCCTGGCTTCCTTCCCCCGCTTCATTGAGGCCTCACCCTGCTCCATTCCTTTTCTGAGGCTTCACCCTACTCACTCCATCTCCCTTCCCCTGAATCTCATTTACTTTCACCAGGCTGGGGTGGAGGTTTCGGATGCAGGCTTTGGTCTTGGGCCAAGGGGTTCAGAGTGTGAGATGGGATTCCCAGGAGGTGGGGTGGGTTCTGGAGAGGCCTAGAAGCTACGGCATTTGCCTAGGGAGCACAGAGTGTTGGGTTTGAGTTCTACCCTCTCCTCGGTAGCTCAAGTCCTGCCTCCCCTCTGCCCACCTTGGAGCAGTAAGACAGCAAACACAGGCTGCCCCAGAGGTGGAGCTGGCTTCCCCTCCCCCACCAGGAAGAAGGATAAGGGACCTGCTGAAGGTAGGGAGGTGGGCTGGGTTCTGGAGTGGACTAGAGGATGCTAGAGCACCCCTCTGGGGAGCACATGGTGGTAGGTTCAAGTCCCACCCACTCCCTGAGTGGCCAGGCTGCCCCAGAGATGGAGCTGACTCCCCTATTTGGAAAGCAGGATAAGGTGGGCAGGGTTCTGGAGTGGCCTAAGGGATAAGGCATCAGCATCTGGAGCACAGGGTGGTGGACTCAGCTTCCACCCACTCAGGAAGCAGCTTGGCAGCCAACACCAGTTGCCCCAGAGATGGGGCTGTGCCTGCATTAGAAAGGCAGGATAAGGGACCCACTGGAGTTGGGGAGGGTTCTGGAGTGGACTAGGGGATAGGGCATTCACCTGAGGCTGTGTCTAGACTGCATCCCTTTTTTGTAAAAGGGATGCAAATTAGACATATTGCAATTGCAAATGAAGCGGGGATTTAAATCTCCCCTGCTTCATTAGCATAAAAATGGCTGCCACTTTTTTCCGGCTCAGAGCTTTGCTGGGAAAAAGCACCAGTCTAGACACGGATCTTTCAGAAAATAAAGCCTTTTCCAAAAGATCCCTCATCCCACCAAAAGCGACGAGGAGTCCTGTGGCACCTTATAGACTAACTGAAGTGTAGGAGCATAAGTTTTCGTGGGCAAAGACCCACTTCGTCAGATGCATGTCAGATGCATGCATCTGACGAAGTGGGTCTTTGCCCACGAAAGCTTATGCTCCTACACTTCAGTTAGTCTATAAGGTGCCACAGGACTCCTCGTCGCTTTTACAGATTCAGACTAACACGGCTACCCCTCTGATACTTATCCCACCAGTGGGTGGAAAGGCAGCTGAAGTGCCAGCACTTGATAGCCTCTTGGCCAAACCAGTCAGGATCATCTGTCAGAGGCTCCAAGATCTACTGGTAGACCCCGATCTATTGGTTGGTGACCACTGCTCTGCTGCTAGACTATTAGTTGTTTTTTAAGTTTTTCCTATATATTTTTGTTAGTTTCTCAGATGCCAGAGGACCATGCATTTTTATATCACAACTGCCATCTAGTGGCTGTAAAATATGCAAAGCCTCCAAATATCCAACTCATCAGGGCAGGCACTACCCTGTGCATACCTGTTTCCCATGCATCCAGAAGGAACTCTCCCTTTCTGGTTATTAGAGCAAATTTTGGTTGCCTTGTTTAGCAGTCACATAAGCATGTCGGGAAAAAAACCCTCTTTCACAAGACCCTTTATTCCTTGTAAATCAAGGTTTGCAGGGTCTTGTGAAAGAGGGTTTCCCCCCCAACATTTGGCCCCGTCTACACGGGGCCAAATAGCAGCAAAACCTCTTCTGCAAAAAGAATCAGAAGATATGCAAATGCAAGCATGATTTGCATATCTTCTTCCGGAAAAAAAATGGCAGCGTAGCTGTAACCATAGTGACCACATATCATTGTGATTATTACTGCCTTTGTTGTCCAGATAATAGTGGCTGTGTTGGGATATTGCACCACCAAAGCCAAAAGGCTATTTCATTGCCTTGGAAACCCTGCTGGACATGTGAAATTAGAACTGGGCAAAATGCTCACCACAAGAACACAAAACCTCTCTGAACTTGCCAGGTTTCATTGCAGCTTCAAATCTTGGGCCATATGTATGGAGAGCTTCAGCTGAGGCTGTGATACTGTTCACATGAACCAGGCGACCAGCCACAGTTTCATATCCAAGCCCATACAAATGTGACCCAGTGACTGTGGAAGCAGTTTACTAGCTCTCCAGCCATGTTCTATTATGAGGCTACGTCTAGATTACAGGCTTCTTTCTGAAGGGTAGCATGATGACAGTCTTCCCGTGGTGCGCCTGCTACATGTTTCTTGGACTTGTGCTATTAGCACTATCCAACTGACATAACTAATGTCATGGACTAGTCACCGAACGACGAACACACATCCTCCTGGTTTGTTCAATGCTATAAATGACCCAATTCAGAGCCAAAGATTTAAGAAGATCGGCCCTTCACTCTGTCTTTCGGAAGAAGCTTTTTTCAGAAGAAATCTTCCAAAAAAGCTTCTTCAGAAAGAAAGCATCCATACTGCAAAAATGCATCAAAAAAGCGATCTGCTTTTTCGAAAGAGAGCATCCAGACTGAATGGATGCTTTCTCACATGTAAACTGTGATTGATATAGACAGAATAGCCACCATGGTACCTGCGCTTTTTCCTCTTTCCTCTTCTTCCTAAAGAACTCCCTCTTCCCCATCCACGCACGCCTTTTTCCAAAAGAGCTCTTCCGCAAAAAGTCTTCTTCCTCATAGAATGAAGATTACCAATACCGCAAAACCCCCTCTGTTCTTTCTATTTACTGTCGAAAGAACGCACTTGCAGTGTGGACGTAACTCAGGTTGTTTTTCCGACAAAAATCTGTAGTGTAGCCATGCCCTCAGTCAAGTTTCCTAAAGCGCAGACAGCCAAACTGTTCAGCCCTTTTGTCATTACTCACTACTCACCTTCAGTAAACATAGCCACAGACAGCAAGAGGCGATCCAGTCCCAGAGTCAGCTTGAATGGGGAACAGGCAAGAACATCCACAATGCCTGAGAGGCCATAGAAGAGGTACATGGTCATGTACTGCCAGTTAGTCAGCTTCTCCCAGCTGTGGGTCTCTTCACTGTAGAGACCGATGTGGGGACTGTCAGGGACGAACTGCTCAGCCAGCATCCCTAAAGAGCAAAGGCAAATACAGATCATGGTTTTTCCTTCTAAGTGAGGAAAGGAAGCAGAATATGAGCCAGGCTGGAGAGAATGAGAAGTCCCAATGGAATTGCTTAGGATTATCTATTGCAGATGCTTCCGAGGATGTAATTCTTAACGTCTAGGGTGGTGTTCTGTTTCCCTGGTTATTTCTGAGGATGTTGTAAGACTGGCTACATAAAATGCTAAAAATGAAGGACACTGAAAACAGAGTCATCAATTTTCCACTATAGGGCAAGTCCACAGCGTCTCTGAGGGTATGTCTACACTACAGCACTAATTCGAACTAACTTAATTCGAATTAGTTAATTCGAACTAAGCTAATTCGAATTGGTGCATCTAGACCTAAAAACTAATTTGAATTAGCATTTTGCTAATTCGAAATAGAATGTCCACATTGAGTGGACCCTGAACCGAGGTTAAGGATGGCCAGAAGCAGTGCCAGCAGGGCATCAGCTTAGGACTTAGAGCGTGGAGCTGCTGCCTCAGGCTAGCCGAGGGCTGTGCTTAAAGGGACCCGACCCCCACCCCGGGCAGACAGTTCTCAGGGTTCCCTGCTTGCTTGTCTAACTCGATGAGGGACAGCAAAGCAGTCCTGGCTTGGAGTGCCCAGAGTGCCCACACTCGGCACATCACAGCACTCGGCCATCAGCCCGGCTGCACTTGCCACAGGCTGCCATCCAGTGGGGTCAATCGGAGGGCTGTCAGGATCCAGGAGGCCCTGCAGGAGAGCTTCCACCCCGAGGAACCCGCAGAGCCATCCCAGTCCTCCCCATCGGGGGCTTGTGACCCATTCCTCCCTCACCTCCTTCCACTTACCCTTCCCTAGCCCCCCTTCCTGATGTACAAAATAAAGAGAACGTGTCTTCCAAAATGGAATCTGTCTTTATTGAACAAAACTGGGGAAGACTGGGAAAAGGATGTGGGAGAGGGGAAGAGAGAGGCTGGGAGAGGGGAGGGCAACTAAAATGATCAGGGCTTGGAGAGGGGAAGAGAGAGGGTGGGAGAGGGGAAGGGGAAACCTGAGAGGAGGGAGATGGAAGGGGGAAGCCAGGGGAAGAAGGAGGAGGGGAAGTATCAAACTATGGTACGCCATATCTTCAGTACTGTGTACAGATGTGGTCTCCTCACCTCAAAAAAGATATTTTGGCCTTGGAAAGGGTTCAGAAAAGGTCAACTAAAATGATTAGGGGTTGGAACAGGTCCCATATGAAGAGACTGGGACTTTTCAGCTTAGAAAAGAGGAGATGGAGGGGGGACAGGATAGAGGTCTCTAAAAGCAGGAGTTGGGTGGAGAGGGTGCATAAAGAAAAGTTCTTCATTAGTTCCCATAAAGAAGGACTAGAGGACACCAAATGAAATGAATGGCCAGCAAGTTTAAAACTAATAAGCGAAAGTTCTTCTTCACACAGCACATAGTCAGCGAAAGTTCTCCTTCACACCTTCACACAGCACATAGTCTTGCCACAGGAGGCTGTGAAGGCTAGAACTATAACAGAGTTTAAAGAGAAGCTAGATAAATTCATGGAGGTTAAGAAGGACTAGAGGACACCAAATGAAATGAATGGCCAGCAAGTTTAAAACTAATAAGCGAAAGTTCTTCTTCACACAGCACATAGTCAGCGAAAGTTCTCCTTCACACCTTCACACAGCACATAGTCTTGCCACAGGAGGCTGTGAAGGCTAGAACTATAACAGAGTTTAAAGAGAAGCTAGATAAATTCATGGAGGTTAGGTCCATAAAAGGCTATTAGCCAAGGGGTAGAAATGGTGTCCCTGGCCTCTGTTTGTGGAAGGCTGGAGATGGATGGCACGAGACAAATGGCTTGATCAGTGTCTTCGGTCCATCCCCTCCAGGGCACCTGGTGCTGGCCACTGTCGGCAGACAGGCTACTGGGCTAGATGGACCTTTGGTCTGACCCAGTACAGCCGCTCTTATGTTCTAAGCTCAGGGTCAGAGGTCCAACTGGACCAACTTGATTTTCATGCAAACCTGCTCCTGGGTTCGCATGTGGCCTTTGGTGGCCAGGCTGGCAGCTATCCTGCTCTAGATGGCCACAATCCTGTGCCTAGTGTGGAGGTCGTGGATGTTGGAGGCCTCCCCCCAAACCTCCATGAGGTCCACTATCTCTGCACTAGACAGGCAGGCATCCGCCTCTTGCGGCCCCGGGCAGGCTCCTGGGAACTGCCAGCCTGGTCCTGGGAAGAGGCAGAGGGCTGGGTGGCAGCGGGTGGCTGGCTCATGCTGTGCCAGGTGCAGGGTCTGCTGGCTGGGTGCTGGCAGGCTTGCAACTGGCACAAGCAATGTAACCAGACCATGGACCTTGGGCCGGGAGGGGGACAGAAAAGTTTCCCTGGTGTTGGCCCAGAGTGGGCACCAGGGCAACCTGGGAAGGGCTAGCCTCCCACTAGTTCGAATTAAGTGGCTACACAGCCCTTAATTCGAACTAGTTAATTCGAACTAGGCTTAGTCCTCGTAGAGTGAGGTTTACCTAGTTCGAATTAAGCGCTCCGCTAGTTCGAATTAAGTTCAAACTAGCGGTTTGTATGTGTAGCGCCTATCAAAGTTAATTCGAACTAATGGCTGTTAGTTTGAATTAACTTTGCAGTGTAGACATACCCTGAGAGAAGAGTTGCTGTGTGACACTGGTATGCTTTTCATTGGTCTTTGGGCAGCGGGAAAAAGCAAAAGTGACTAACTTACCTGCTAGCGCAAAGAAAGCTTTGGCTGCCCCTTCAAGGACATCCAGTTTCTGGATCCAGCGGCTTGCCTGATTGTCTGCATTCAGTGTCCGGCTCAGATATTTCTGTGGATATTTCACAGACCACCCGAGCCCAAAGACCAGGAAGAAAGTGCCTCTGAGGGCATTGCCTTTGAAGCTTGACATAACTGAGCCAACTTGCAGGATACCTGGGCCTAAAAGGATAAAAACCAATGTTCAAGTCACTCTGTCATCAATCCTCCTGACAACAGGATAACTCAGAGGAGCCTTGCCTTTCTAGATGCAGTGTCCTGGAATCTGCAATGCTGTCACAACTAGGTACTTCACTTCCTGTGAAATCCTAATGCACAGATCTGTAAGTGTACGTCTACACTACAGCGCTAATTCGAACTAACTTAGTTCGAATTGGTTAATTCGAACTAAGCTAATTCGAACTAACGCGTCTAGAACTAATAACTAGTTTGAATTAGCATTTTGCTAATTCGAACTAGCATGTCCACATTAAGTGGACCCTGAACTGGGCTTAAGAATGGCCGGAAGCAGTGCCAGCAGGGCATCAGAGGAGGACTTAGAGCGTGGAGATGCTGTCTCAGGCTAGCCGAGGGCTGCGCTTAAAGGGTCCCGACCCCCACCCTGGACAGACAGTTCTCAGGGGTGCCCCGCTTGCCACAGTCGGCATATCACAGTACTCGGCCATCAGCCCGGTTGCACTTGCCGCAGGCTGCCATCCGCGAGGGTCTATTGGAGGGGCTGCAGAAGAGTTTCCACCCCGAGGAGCCTGCAGAGCCACCCCAGTCCTCCCCATCGGGGGCTCATACCCAATTCCTCCCTCACATCCTTCCACTTACCCGTCCCTAGCCCCTTTTCTTGATGTACAAAATAAAGGACAATTGTGTTCAAAAATGGAATCTGTCTTTATTGAACAAAACTGGGGGAGACTAGGAAAAGGAGGTGGGAGAGGGGAAGAGAGAGGGTGGGAGACACACAAACTACTGCCATCTTGTGGAGGATAGACATACTACCAATAATTCTTTTACTTGTGAGAAATCATGACAGAATAAATTTGATTTCTGCCAAGTATCTTGTTTCTCCTGCAGGTTTTCCTTTTATCAGGAATGGTTTCTTGGCATGCTGACCCATATCTTTAGGAAGAAGAAGAATGGGGCATTCAAGATAATCCTGTTGGCCGATATGGCAGAGTATTTGTTTCTATTTGTTTCTTTTTATTAATGTCAGTAGAAATGAGCTGCCACAGTGATAAGGCCATATAAGTACCTATATTAAAAAGTGGAAGCAGATGGAAAACTAAGGCTCTTTCAAAAACAGGCAAGTCCTTTTAGACTTGTGACTTCCCCCCCCTACCTACTCAAGCCTGCACTCTCTTCAGCCTTCTGATGGACCAACACTAGGTTTAAAATTCAGTTTTGGAAGTGTTCTCCTAGAATGAGAGCTGGGCACAAAAATTACACTTCATAGATTTGGGGGGGAAACAGCATCAAATTTGCATGTTGACCTCGTATTTTTGACTCTGCTAAGTTAGCCAAAAGCCATTGTTTTCAGCCAAGCATAGATGCACCATACTAATACCGATAACTAAGAAGTCTTTATCTTTCCTCAGAAGACCAACATCTGGTACTCTGGAGGAAGCTTGCTTTCCATAGGTCCCAATCTGCATAGGAGAAGCAATGGATGTGGTATACCTAGACATTAGTAAAGTATTTGATATGGTCTCAAATACATGATCTTATCAATAAACTAGTTAAATACAACATAGATGGGGCTACTATAAGATGGGTGCATAACTGACTGGATAACCATTCTCAGAGAGTAGTTATTAATGGTTTGCAGTCATGCTGGAAAGGCATAACAAGTGGGGTTCTGCGGGAGTCTGTTTTGGAACTTGTTCTGTTCAATATCTTTATCAATGATTTAGATGACGATGGCATAGAGAGTATTATTATTAAGTTTGCAGATGATACCAACCTGGGAGGGATTGCAAGTGGAGGATAGGGTCATAATTCAAAATGATCTGGACAAATTAGAGAAATGGTCTGAGGTGAATAGGATGAAATTTAATAAGAACAAATACAAAGTACTGCACTTAGGAAGTATCAATCAGTTTCACACACACAGAAGTGGAAGCGACTGTCTAGGAAGGAATACTGCTGAAAGAGGTCTAGGGGTTATAGTGGACCACAAGCTAAATAGGAGTCAACAGTGTGATGCAGTTGCAAAAAAAGCAAACATGATTCTGGGATGCTTTAACAGGTGTGTTGTGAGCAAGACACGAGAGGTGATTCTTCCGCTCTGCTCTGCACTGGTCAGGCCTCAGTTGGAGTCTTGTGTCCAGTTCTGGGCACCACATTTCAAGACAAATGTGGAGAAACTGGAGAAGGTCCAGAGAAGAGCAACACAAATGATTAAAGGTCTAGAGAACAAGGGATAAGGAGGACTGAGTTTCAGGGCTTCCCATAGCCCAATTTACTTTTCTGGGGTTCCAGACTTAGTGGATTTTATGGTTCCCCTTAGACTCTGGGGTGGGGACAAAAATAAGTGGTTCAGTGTGAGTGAGTGAGACAGGGATGGAGTGCAGGATCTGGGAGGGAGATGGGATGCAGGAGTGGGTGAGGGTGCAAGGTGTGGGTGGGAGGTAGGGTGCAGAAGCAGGTGTCTGGCCGGGGGGAGGATGCAGGAGTAGGCTGGGGGTAGGGTGTCTGGACAGGGGTAGGGAGATGGGGGCAAGGAGTGCCTGGGGCTAAAGCTGGGGAACAGAGTAGCTGAGGGGGTTCAGGGAGATGGGGGCAGGGTGCTCCTGGGAATAGGGCTGTGGTCAAGGTGGCTTGGGGGGGTGGTTTCACAGAAATGGAGGGACAGGGAGGCTGGGCCGATAGGTGACCCCAGGGTGTCCAGTCCATGGTGCTCTCTGGAGCCAAGCTGCTGCTTGACCCCTCCCCTCAAACCAAGTCCCCATGGGTGCAAAGCAGTGATTCCTCTGAGATTTTCCATCCAGGAGCGGAGTGAGATTTGTCTTGTGCACCGATATTGAGGTCACGTGCGCTGGCTCGGATGTGCCACTGTGGCACCCGAGTTATAAACCGCTCCCTTCCCCCTCTGCTGCCATGTCTCCCTCCCTCCCCTTGTCCCATCTGCTCCCCTGTTGTCTGCTACTGCCCCTCGCCCCCCTCTGCTATCACGGCTCCTGCCTTTCTCACTCCCCTCGGCCCTCTGGGGACCTGCCCCCCTTGACTTCTGCTCCTACCCTTCCTTTCCCTGCTATGCCCACCCTTTCCATAGCCCCCCTCCTCATCCCCTCTCAGTACCTCCCTCTACCCACTGCCCTGCCTCCATTCCGTGTCTGCCCTTCTGCTTCTCGCCACAATCCCCCTGGCACCTGCACCTTCCTTTCCCCCTGCACCCTCCTGGTGCCTCTCCCTTCCCTCACTGCCCCCCTTGTTTTCTTCCTCCCTGGAGCCCACGCCCCAGTACCCTCTGCCCCAGTTCTCCTCACGCCCCTCTGATCCCTCACACATGACTTGCTCCATCCTCTTCCTTCCTCATGCCCACCCCTCCTTTCCACCCCTCTTCTTCTGGCACCCACTCCTCCCCCACCCCTTCCTCCCTCTT